CTGATACCATCAACTTGGAAAAACTTACAAACGAGTGTCAGCGTATTATTAATTTAAAATCCGACACAGCGCTGGTAGAAAATAAATCACGTGAAAATCAGGTGAATCGAGTACAAGCAAATAAGCTTAAGAACAATCACAAACCGAAAACACCATGCTGGTTTTGTGGAGCAATGCATTATGTGCGTGACTGCCCATACAAAAATTATAAATGCGAAGACTGTCACAACATAGGCCATAAAAAAGGTTATTGCAAAGCGAAAAATTTATCAAAATCAAAATGCAATAGCAACAACAAAAATAATAGCAATGGTAAAGCAAAAACATTTTCACAGCCACGATCCAACAGTATATACACAACGAACAGCATCACAGCTTCACAGCGTAAATATGTCCACGTTAAAATCAACAATGTGCGAATCAAATTGCAATTTGATACTGCATCGGACATAACTATCATTTCAAAATTTAATTTCGACAAATTAAATATTTTAAATACAATGGAAGTACAACCAGAATCTGCTAAAAGTGCAACTGGAAACTTACCATTGTACGCAAAATTTACATGTGATGTGCAGTTAAAAGACACAATTAGAACACTTACGTGCTTCGTTACAACGATCGATTTGAACGTATTCGGATTGGACTGGATAACTGCTTTTCAACTTAGCGATATGACGCTTAATGCTATTTGCAGCCAAATTTCAACTACAAAACAGGCAAGTAATGTTTCAATAAAGTCGTCGAATTGCAAATTTCTTCCGGAAAAATTATTTCCAGAACTTTTCGATAATGCTATGGGTCTTTGTAATAAAACTAAGGCACATTTAATTATTAAACCAAACTGTCAACCTGTTTTTCGACCTAAGCGCCCGGTAGCATACGCAGTTCAACATTTGGTTGAAGAAGAAATCAAGCGACTTCAAGATCTCGACATTATCGCACCCATAAATTACTCTGACTGGGCCGCACCAATCGTAGTTATCAAAAAGCCAAATGGTAGCATTCGTATTTGCGCTGATTTCTCAACTGGTCTTAACGACGCGCTTGAATCTTACAAGTATCCACTACCGCTTCCAGAGGATATTTTTGCAAAAATTAGCAATGCAACAGTTTTTAGTCATATAGACCTTTCGGACGCTTTTCTCCAAATCGAAGTTGATAGCAAATCGCAAGAACTTCTCACAATAAACACGCATCTAGGTTTATTCAAATACAAGCGTATGGTTTTTGGCGTTAAAACTTTTCCGGCAATTTTCCAACAAATTATGGATAAAATGCTTGCGGGCTTAGATTGCGCAGCTGCTTACATTGACGATATCTTTGTCTCAGGTAGAAACCAACAAGAGCATGACAACAACTTACATGAAGTTCTACAACGTATTTATCAATACGGGTTTAAACTCAAGATCGCAAAATGCAATTTTTCAGTTCCTGAAATTGCTTACTTGGGATATATTGTCAGTAAAGACGGCATTCGCCCAGATCCAAAAAACATTGAAGCAATCAAGACAATGCCTGCGCCAACCAATCAATCCGAACTTAGATCACTCTTAGGTGCTATCAATTTTTATGGGAAATTCATAAATCACATGCGCAAATACCGAGGACCATTAGACGAACTACTTCAAAACAACAAGCAGTGGCAATGGACGGAACTTCATCAACGCTGTTTGGATGGTTTCAAGCAAATTTTGTCATCAGAGTTATTATTAGCGCATTACGATCCACTGAAAAACATAGTAGTCGCTGCAGATGCATCTAACTATGGGCTCGGAGCTTGCATTTTTCATGAAGCTGACGACGGTTCAATGAAAGTAATATGTCATGCATCCAGATCACTAACGCCCACAGAAAAACAATATAGCCAAATAGAAAAAGAAGCTCTTGCGCTTATTTTCGCGGTTACGAAATTTCACAGAATGGTTTTTGGGAGAAGATTCAAACTTCAAACAGATCATAAGCCTCTTCTAGCTATATTTGGTGATAAAACTGGAATTAAGGTGCATCAAGCAAATAGACTTCAACGTTGGGCAATTAAACTGATTGCATACGACTTCGAATTAAAGTTTATTTCAACTAACAGTTTTGGGTATGCAGACGTTTTATCACGACTCATACATAACACAATCAATCCTTCAGAAGACTATGTCATCGCTGCAGTAGAGTTTGAAATTGAAAGTAAACAAATTTTACATAACTCACTTGATAAGCTGCCGCTTACCAGCAAAATGATTACTTACGAAACAGCTAAGGACAAGGTTTTAGCTAAAATTCTCGAATATGTAACTGAAGGATGGCCATCAAACTGCAACAACAGTGAGTTAAAAGCTTACTTTAACCGAAAAAACGACATATGTATAGTTGACGGATGTTTAATGCTCGGACAACGCATTATTATACCTCAAATTTTCCGAAAGCGCATTCTTAAAGAAATTCACCGAGGTCATCAAGGCATAGGTCGTACTAAAGCCATCGCGCGGAACTACGTTTATTGGTCAAATATCGATTACGATATTGAAGCAATGGTGAAAAGTTGTTCAAATTGTGCCGCAGCAGCTAAAATGCCCACAAAAACAACTTTACATCCTTGGCCAAAACCTTCTGATTCTTGGGAACGGCTCCATATTGATTATGCAGGACCATTAGATTCATACTACTATTTGGTCGTAATCGATGCGTTCTCAAAATGGCCAGAAATTATACAAACAAAATCTATAACAGCAACTCAAACAATTTCCAGCTTGAAAGAAATTTTCGCTAGATTTGGGTTACCGAAGACAATAGTTTCAGACAATGGTACTCAATTTGTGAGTCACCAATTTCAACAGTTTTTAGCGGAAAACGGCATTAGTCATATACGAAGCAGTCCGTACTATCCCATGTCAAATGGACAAGCCGAAAGGTTTGTGGATACTTTAAAGCGAGCACTCAAAAAGTTAAATGGGAAGGGGGTAACTGCTGAAAATCTTCAAACATTTCTACAAGTTTACCGATCAACTCCCAATAAGCAAAATGAGGACAGTAAATCGCCAGCTGAAGTTTTACTAAAAAGAAATATCCGTATTAAACTTGACTTAATTAAACCAACGCTGGTGTCTTTACCAGACCCAAATGCCAAGTTTAAAAATAAGTGCAATACACAACTCAAAATGAAAGCGCAGTTTGACAAAAGGCACGGTGCAAAGCCAAAGAATTACGAAAAACAAGAGCTCGTTTATGTCAATATATTTAAAAACAAACACTTTGAATGGACAAAAGGAAAAATAATCGAACGCATAGGTAACGTCATTTATAATGTTCGCTTACAAAATGGCAAACTTATTCGTGCACATGCCAACCAAATTCGTGACCGAAAAGATCAAGAAAATGAGTTATCTTTAGAAATATGTACTTCCGAAGATATCGCCAACGAAAAGTGTTTAGTTGATGCATTTGGCCTCTACGAAACAACAGATCAATCTTTCAACAAAGTAACCGAGATTGCAATCCCTCAAACTGAGAAGCACAATGAGGCAGTTGTTCCGTATACCCGTCCAAGGCGTACTAGACATCCTATTGACCGTTATAGACCCTAGAATCACCGCATTGGAGATTTAATCTCAAAAGGGGAGGTGTTGGCAACTCTGCCAAGATGACAGTTGACAGATAAAGTAACATTTACATTTTAACATTTTTAATTCTGTCAGTTATTTTGGAACTTGTGAAATAATAATAACTTGGAGTTTTTTGAATAAATAAATATCTAATTATACAGATATAACACTTTGTTTATTTGAAAACCAGCGTAAACATCAAAAATGACGTCAGCCTACAGATTCGACGAAGAATCACTATTATCAACAGATGTTACTTCGGGTTAAGTAGGCAATTGAGAAATAAAGCCCTCTCTCTCTATCGACAAACAAAAATCACACTCTAGAAGTCTCTTATCATCTCTGTTCTGCTATATGGTGCCAACAGATGCTACTTCGGACTAAGTAAGCAATTGAGAAATAAAGTCCTCTCTCGACAAACAAAAGTTACACTCTAGAAGTCTCTTATCATGTCTCTTCTGCTAACATATATAGTGCAGAATCTTGGACAATTACCAACAGTAATGAGAAGGCGTTAGGATCACTCAAGAGAAAAATACTTCGGAAGAACTAGTTTCCCTTACGCGTTGGCAACAAGTATCGAACTAGATTGAACGATGATCTATATTAGCTATACTGCAACATTGACATAGTTAAGCGTAAAAATTCAGCGGCATCGCTGACATAGTCATGTCATGCGAATTAAAGAAAGTGCTCGGTACCAACAGGTGGAAAACGCGATAGAGCACGTCTGCATCTTCGGAGGAAGAACATGGAGACCAAGGATTTCGGGGAACTGGCGACAGCAAATCACTGATCGGCCTGGCTCGAGGATGCTACTCGACGGGGACAAGAACGACTCACTTCTGTAATGACATGGTCCAATGCTATAATAGTTCCAACAAAACATACATATACTTGTCTTCATCGCTGCTATGACAAGAATATAACATTACTTAAACTGCTGAACTCAATACGAAGCAAGTGCTAAAATTTTTACTGGGATAGCTTTTGCTTCAAGAGGTGTTCATTTGAAGCCATTTTTGAATGCGTCAAATGCCTTTTCAAAATCAACAAATGACTTGCATTTAGTCAGCTCAATCTCTAATCCTATCGTACTTGCATGATCGGCACATAATTTTCTGGTATTGAACATCTTCTAATTTCGTCTGATGAAGTTCTGTGTTTGGTATCACATCTGAAAACATCTGTCAAAAATAACAGTTTTGGAACTAATGGAATGTGACATTTTCAATATTCACAGTGTTTCATTTTATTACTTAGAGTATAATTTTGTCTGATTTTTAATCTAACCGATTTTTATACTAATTAAAACTGTATAAGTTCTTGGAAATAAATTAAATTTATTTATAACTCAATCGATGTTTATAGTTTAATATATTGTACAATAATCTATGCTAAATATTAAACTTGAGCCTCCATTATTAAAGCCTGCGACATACTTTCGGTATCAATTGTTGTTTCTTCATACAAACTCAATGACAAAGAAAGCGATGTTTGATTTTGTGGAACTTCCGGCAAAGGGTCATTAGATGTACGTTTTCTTCTGTATGGTATTTCGGCATAACTTACTACATGCGTATTGTCTCTAGAAGGCTCCAGGGGTGGTAAATAAAATTCAGGTCTGTCTTCTCCACAATAAAAATTACACATATTTTTTTCTGCGGAGTTCTCATTAAATCGTATATAGGCTGGTATAACCTCATACAAATTAACATTCATATAACTGTCATTGCTGTCTATGCTGTTCATACTATCCGTTGAATTGCGTCGATTGTCAGAAATTATGGTGCTAAAGAAAAAAATATATGTTACTATATTGTTACTTATGAATATTTTATTAATATATACAAACCTCTTTGAGTTGCGTTTGGCAATTAATTGCTCCTTGCGTTTAAATTGTTCAACAGATTCATCTCTAGGAAATACCATAATGTCTTTAGAGTTTTTCTTGGCTGAGGCTACTCTTTTGCTCCCTTTTAAGAGTGTCGGTTTACGCTTCAATACAAGTATAACTACAAATATACCAAGAAAAGTGCAGAGCACAATACCAAAAACCACCAAACAAATGCCCTTTACACGTGAATCCAATGTTAGCCACGAACTATAAGAAACAATAAGATTGGTACCCATATGTATGGACTTGCAATGAAAAGGAGAAGTGGTTAGTTCATTTTGAACAACCACACAGAATGTGTAAGCTACATTGGGTAGCAAATTATTCACAGTAGTTGTGTATGATATCCCATTATAGCATCCTAAACCATAGTCATTATAATTTATTTCCATGTCACTGTACTCTTTTGTGACTTTACTAAACCAAACCAGACCATAAGGCTCTTTCATTTGTTCAGATAGAATAACAATATCAACATCTAAGCTGGTTTGCGTTAACACTGTAAAATTCAGAATGGGTACGCTTATGCTTTGATAATTACTTTCAATAAATTCATAGGCTGAAAGACATTCCAGTGGCGCTATACCATTATCTTCTGCCTCAGGAGTATGCTGTGAATTGACATTTTCACCGTCTTGCTCTAGAGTAGTTTTAATATTTTCCGTCGGAAATATAGGTGCCAATGTTGAACCATAGGTTTGCATACAGTCTTTGCAAGTCGTAGTTGTTGTCGCTGGAGTGGTAAATGTGGTATACTTGCTGTGATCATTTGTGAAACACAAACGATCATCGAAAACGGACCAATCGTGATATTCTTCAGGAGTTTCACAAAAAATGGTTGTTGTTTGATAAACGAAAATCATTGACATTTGTGTGAAGAGCTCACAGGAACAATTCCAGGGATTATTGCTCGCCACTACTTTGAGTTCTCTTGGCATCTCCCGCCAGCCAAAAATTGTTGCTGATATTGTAATCAGTTGATTATATGATAAGTCCAAATATTCCAAGGTGGATTTGAAATCATAGAATATGTAATCGGGCAAATAACTTATGTTTGAATTGGACAAAATCAATCGTTCAACCATAGACAACCTACTGAAAGTGCTCTGCAAGAACTGATCACCAAAATTATTATAACTGAAATCGACCTGCTCCAAGTTGTTGAGCAGACCATCTGCAGCTGTCATATTCCGCACACAGGTTATACCAACTTGTATAGTTAATGATTTTATTTGATATTTTACGGATTCCAAAAAATTAGCACAAATCTCTTGAACTGGCTTATTTTTCTGTATGACGGAAAGGCTTTGGAAGTCCGTCGAAATGTTATGAAAAAAGTCCTGACGCAACTCCTTAAGTAGTAAGTTCTCCAAATAAATTTGCTGGAATATACCATTTCCAAAAGCCCCGCGCTCAATATCAGTAACGTAGGAGTTAATGATGAAAATAGCTTTGATTTTATTTTTATAAACGCCTAGAAAGTCACGCGAAATTGTGTTATTGGGAAAGTAGTAATTGTAGATACGCAATTCTTCAACAAATTCGCAATCCATCTAAGTAAGACAGTAATGGGAGTAATATTTATTTTAAAATTAATATTATTTAATATATTTCTGATTGTTTTACCTCACTTGATGCTTTAGTTCGAATGTCATTGATGTCTTCTACGATATCGTCTGCGCGGCCATTAAAACAAATAAGCTTACATTGCATTTGCAGACAGCTTTGCGTTCTAAAAAGATATATTGAGATAATATATGTTACATTTTTAATATACAATATATAATCAATCAAAATTTCAGATTTCTTAATATATTAGGAAATAAATTAAATTCTCCACTAATGACCCGATTTCAGATAATTTTTCCTGACAATTATAATTTTGCCATTGGAAAGCATCGATATTGCCCGTGAACATAAACTGAAGCTATTGAAATACGCACAGAAACACAAACAATAAAATAAAACTTTTAAGTCCTCTTTACCGGTAAGAACCACGATAATTAATTGTTAGTACTAAGTAATTCAAAAAAATGTATGGCTCTTTGGAGGTTAGGTAAAGTTATGGTAGCAACCTTATGCACAAAAATTACTTAGGCACAAATAATAACTCTTTATGATACCATGAAGGAGACACCATCCACACACCAGATCTAAAAGACCACCTAAAAGGTAGAAGTACCAAACATCTAGTGCACGCATAGCATTCCTTTGAACAATTTCGACTTCTACATTTAAGTAAAAGAGTACTAACCTAAGAAGTCTGTAAAGTTGTATATATCCGGTTAGTTAGAAGAAGAGTTCCAAAGATATTTCAATTTTCTATTAGTAAATGATTAATCTTCTATTAGTAAATTACTAATAGATGATCCGCTTCGATATAACCCATATAAAATTCGTAAGATGCTAAATCTTAGCGACTTAGAGGGCTTCCTAATAAGTAGTGACTTGTCAGTATCGATATCGTAGTACTGAGGCAATCTCGCTATATTTGAAGCAAACCTTCCGTACAATAGCAGGCGTAAATAGTAGGTTAAGCAAGGTTATAGTGATATCCTTGTACACCAATGCTCACTTAAACACATATAATGGTCCGTTGTGATACCATAAATAAGACACCATCCGTATGACAGGACCAACTTGTAGGTAGAAACAGCAAACATTAAGTGCATCAAAATGAAAGTAAACTTTTCGGTAAATATGTTGGACCTATATAAGATGTATTCCAAGATGTAAGGAGTTTTTGAATATTGAATTTAAGGTGAATCTGTCTTTTGACAATCACATGCGCAGCTAAAATAAGTTAAGATATATTCGTCATGAATGTATTGGAAAATTTCTCCACATTTAAAGTTATAGAAGCGGTATTATTGCTTGTTAAACGAGGGATCTTCTGGATATAGAATGAGTCGATAAACCCCTTATCTTTTATTGAAAAATATGTTTTTTCCAGAAAGGTAAAAAGCGCGTAGTGCTACATTATTAGTTAAGTGTCGATCGGTGATCATTTTTGATTATTTGCCAAGTAGTACGGAGCAAACCACTAAAGAATATTCTTTAGATTTTGAATAAGAATAGCGCAGTGTAAAAAACAAGGTTACAATCGATGACGATTATATAAGGTCGTTAGTCAATTTATGCGAGACATACCACGCTCTTCGGTAGTCTAGAACACTTTTTGAAAATTGATTTTAAAAATTTACAAAAATGTATCTGTACAAAAAAAAAGCACTGAAAATATAGATTAAGATGTTCATCAAATGTCAAAGTGCACCTTAATATTATCTTTTAATACAAATCGGTCTGGTACTATTAAAGTATTAAAAGCCTCTATTCCAAAGTTATCATTTGAAGTTAATAATAATTATTAAACAAAATTTTTCTAAAGAGATCTTGAAGAGTTTTTCGAATGAAAAGTATTAATTGACACGAACTTATTAAAGATAGCGATCCAGTGTAAGGACGACCATATCCTTAAGGCTTCAAAGTAAAACGATTCTTAAATTATTCATGTACTGTCGTTAATTTTAAACATTTGTGTATTCCAAAACTTGTTTTCAAAAAGTGGATCAAGCAAATAAGATTTCATTGTCAATGATAGTGCATGGGATATATGACTTACTCAAATGTAGGAGTTCACCTGTCTTATCTTAATACAAATATATATAAACTTACGTTCTATACTTGAAATACTCAACAATTTTATGTGAAGATGTTAGGGCAAAGTAAATGGTAGCCTTTTATTTATAATATATAAAAACATTTGAAATTTTGGATCTATTAAAAACTATTTTTACATATACACACATTTTAAGAGAAGAGAGCTGTGTAATGCAAACAGACGTACTTATATCGTAGCCTAAAAATATACTCACAAAACAAATTTTACTATTAAATTGTCAGTTTATTGTTCCATATTTTTTTGCTGTTTTTATATACATTATCTACTTTGATAATAATAATCACCATAATTAAAACTGTATTCCCAAAACACCTGAAATCGTCTCCTCACCCCCTGCGAACCTAATTTTCCAATTTACGAAAATCGATAAAATCCACTAACGCGATTACAAACATTTATCAGTTTACGGAATAATCGATGCTTCAGGCTTGTTTAATCAAAATATCTGGTTCAGACCGGTAATCGCCTAAGTCTTCTTGAAAGCCTCACATCAGACCACACATTTAGGATGAAATAATAAATTCAATTTGTGTTGCTTACCTCTTTTGTTGTGGTCCTATAACCGTTGAGCTCAAAATATCCTTTATGGAGCTTATATTATTATTGCAATTGCTACTATCCAGCGAAATGCTAGATAATAAATTTTCATTAAAGGCGAACACTATTAGAATTATTACAAACAGTTTACACATTGCAGTTTATTCAAAATTTTAGATGACTTCAAAATGATTAACTTTTGAGTTTTAAGCACAAATTTTTGTATTTGCTGTTGTTTTTGTAAGAGGAATGTACTTTCCATTTGTACAGTTTTAGATCGAAAAAGGAAAAATTGTGAAATTGTAAAGTTTTTCAAAATACACACCAAAATTCATAAGTTATTTTTTACTAAAATCGTACATGGCTCGTCAAAAAATTTAAGCTAACTGAGTTAAGCTGCTACCGATAAGCACCATATGAGGAAGGACCTGCTATAGACTTACCATGATTATTTACATCAAAATAAAGCTTATCATTTCAGTGTTTTTGTATATTGATTCGGCTATGAATAATTGCGATAAAATATGATAATACCAAAAAGCCAAATTACTGTACAAAATATAATGTATTATACATGATATACAAAAGTCATTTTATATAAACGGTTTTCTTCAGACAGACTATTATTAAGCACCTTGTATCTGCATTAAAATTCTACACAAAACTTCCTTTTGAATAAGCCTACAAGGATTAGACAGTTTACTTAGTTCAATGCTACTTCACTTGCCACAATGGATCTCAGCTTATACATTTTTTTTAGCTAACATATCTGTGTAGATGTTATACATCTTATAGCAAGGTTTCAGAATCTTTATGTTATCTACTTTTTTAATTATTAATCAGACCCTTTTTTCTCAATTGAAACATTAAGTCATATTGTCCGTTTTAGCTCCACTCTTTGCGTCTTTAGTTAAGTTATATAATTTTAAAAGTAAATTCACATTTTATCTCCTATCTCTTCGTGGATTTCTCTACAAGATTTTTAAGAGCCGATGCGCTACTGTAACCGTCAGGCACATTTTTTACGCTTTAATATATACAGCATGGCAGGTATTCGATGTCTGCGCCGTAAAACTGTGTTGGCCTAGTCAGTGCCTAATAGCTCCAGAGCATTAGTGTAAAATATAGATCCGAGGTAACGCCCAACATCCTTTTGCTTGCTTGAATTGCATCACTATTCTTTTTCACCCATTTGTGAACATTCCACTTGCATAACCATTTGTTGTCCATTAAAACACTTTTAGTTTCCCTTAAGTTCAAT